GGAAGTGGACACAGTATTTGTAAGCATTTTACGAGCAGATTTCGGCCAGAAACCGGCAAATGCGACTGTGCTTCGTCCAAATAATCTAGAGGCCGTCCAGGTTTGCGGACCGGAACTGAATATTTCCGATGTAGCTCGAGTAAATGGTGGTGACGGTGCCTTTGTCGCAGCACGCCGGAAGTCGATACGCTCACTGAAGGCCAGACGGGGCTCTACCGGTCGAAAACGAAAATATTTGGGTTTTTCCAGTTTGGACCAGACTTGTACGGAGTTCCACGATACAAAAAGTGCGGCAAACGTGTGGTTGCTGGCACATGGCATCGAAGAAGGGGTCGTGCTTCCAGGTTGCGAGAAAAGCCACCTCGGTACGAGTAGTAACGAGCTTCTCTTCTACATTCATACATAATACGAATATTACTGAACTACTCATATCATTATATTAGTAATATTATGATTCATAAAATTGTTAATTGCTGAATTGCACCGCGTGCATGGTTCTATGTACTGTCTAACAGAGTACACAGTATACTTATATAAAGGGGAAACCTAGTCTACCCGAACCGACTCCTTGTACTGCTGCCGTCACCCGGCTGGAGTTTTACGTTGTGGCTAAACATGGCGCTTATGTACCGCGCCTGATTTAACCATATGTACTGCCGTAACGTCACACTTCAGCCGGGTGACGGCAGCAGTGCCGTGAATTGGTACGACTGAACTGGTTTTCCCCCTTATATAATCACTGGCTGTTTCAAAGGTTCATTTAAACCACACTAATGTAACAGCATGTACGCAGATAATACATCTTTCTTACTTCTCCAACATTTGGCTTCAACTTCTAGAAACAGACAGTCCCGCTTTATCCGAGGTCCACAGTGTTGGCACGCCACAACTCGGTTTCTTTGATGATTTCTTTGGCGGAAAGTATCATTTGGCTAACTTGGCCAAGACAGTGAACCTTTCAACGGACCGTGTCCGCAGTCTTCTTAAGACCGGTCCACGACAGCTGCGTACTCCAAAAGCCTCCAGTGTTCCTTGTTCCAAGCCTGCCCCAGTCAAACGTCAGCGGTATCCGGCATCCAAACGCAGACGCCCGGCCAAAGTTGCATACAACAACAACTTGGCGGATCAACGTAATCGCCACGCCGCAGCGTCGGCACGTGCGTCGGTGCGTTCCAGCGAAACTGCAGCGTTGCCGGAATCGACTGAGACTCAAGAAGTGCATAATACAGGTAGCCACAACGGTACGTGTGTTCTGTGCCGCTATTTTATGTATACTTACCTGCAATATCACGAACAAAAACCAATCGGAAGTATCAGTCGTTATAATATAGTAAAAAGCTTAAGCAATGGATTTATTATAGTACTATTATTGAATAATTTTTTATTTATTATTACTTATTAATTTTATTTCTTATTTATGATTAATTTAATTAATGAATTTTTGAATATTAATTTATTTCTTAGTTAGTTTATAACTAAATTTCTGCATATTATGTTTAACTATTTAGTTAATTTATAATTCGTTTCCCATTCAAAAGTTAATTACTAATTTTAACCCATTCTTACGTGATGTTCTTTTAACCTAATTTAGACGCCGAAAGGGAGCTCGGGGATCCGACGCAACAGGGAAGTGAAAAATTTCTGGCTGCTGTACACAATATACCGTAAGTACATCAAATGTCCAGCGGCCGATGTCATCAGTTGCCCAAGTGTGTAACATCATTCAAGGACTTCAACAAAAGGTAATTGACAGTGAGCCACCCGTGGCACTGGCCGTTGATGCGCCTACCACTTTGCTCGATCAACCACTCAGAAAAGCACCGGAAAGGGTTAAGGACCCAGATATCAGCCAGTGCCAGGAGTTGCAATCCGTCGTCCTGAAACTACTCGACCAGAGGTGTCCCTATGAAACCATAAAGCAACACATCGATATTTGCTTCCTGTCTGGCTCCACGTTATTGCCACGAGTTAGTGGAGATGCTGAAAAGTGGGATAACAGCCAAAAGGTAACGCTCCCGTTTGGCCAACTGGTTGGTGTAAGTTGGCCCATTGCACCAGCCGACTGTTTTTTTTTGTTCCTTTTCTCCGTCTTCGAATCGCAAAATTGATGATTTTATGGTGCTAGGCTGCTAATCCAGAATAAAAACCAAGGAAAGATAGACGCCTGTCATTTGACGCAACGTCAGACGGTACTAATACTTTCGCTCGGTCATGTGCCTGGGAAGAAAATTTAGAAATTAGAAATTTAGAAATTAGAAATTAGAAATTAGAAATTAGAAATTAGAAATTTAGAAATTTAGAAATTTAGAAATTTAGAAATTTAGAAATTTAGAAATTTAGAAATTTAGAAATTTAGAAATTAGAAATTTAGAAATTAGAAATAGAAATTTAGAAATTTAGAAATTAGAAATTTAGAAATTAAATAGAAATTAGAAATTTAGAAATTTAGAAATTTAGAAATTTAGAAATTTAGAAATTTAGAAATAGAAATCCAGAAATTTAGAAATTCTAGAAATTTAGAAATTTAGAAATTTAAATTTAGAAATTTAGAAATTTAGAAATTTAGAAATTTAGAAATTTAGAAATTTAGAAATTTAGAAATTTAGAAATTTAGAAATTTAGAAATTTAGAAATTTAGAAATTTAGAAATTTAGAAATTTAGAAATTTAGAAATTTAGAAATTTAGAAATTTAGAAATTTAGAAATTTAGAGAAATTTAGAAATTTAGAAATTTAGAAATTTAGAAATTTAGAAATTTAGAATTTAGAAATTTACAAACTGAATTTTTAGAAATTCAACAAACTTCAACTGACAGTTGGAGCTCTCATCACCTAACCTGTATTTATTCGTAAATTTGCGGATAAATGCTGGTTTAAAAATTTAGGCTCCTTCTAAACTGGTTTAGCATAGTTATTGCGGGAAAAGACCAACTGGAATTGTAAAACTACAAATTCCCACTACTTCCGGTCCGTGAAAAATGGCGCCTCGCAGTGTGGCATTGGGATTAAGTTCGCTTTGAGAATTTCTGCAAAACTTCCCTTTTCTGCCATTGCATTATACCAGAACCAAAGCAACTTTTTCTGTCTATGAACATAGACAAGGAAGAACAAAGTTTAAAATGACAAGGAAGAACAAAGTTTAAAATATTTTTTGTTGCTGTGACTGCCTATGAGGAATTTTTTTTAATTAGGGCGATTATACTGACTTTGTCTGCAGTGTCAAAATAAAAATCCTTTAACGTACTCTGGTGTACACAAATCACCATCGCTCGGTGGCATTGTAAAGGATACTAATGGCTGAAGTTTTAACAGTTTAAGAATATGTCAGTAAGTCATAATTTAATAATTTTACGGTGTTTCCTGCATTGAAAGCACCGTAGCTCAATGACTTAAAAAAACTAATGCCACTCAAATTTCCCCACACAAGCGATGCTGTTCTGCAGGTGTACAGCTAAATCTTATAACTACACTACTTCACTTTGTAACCAGTATACATACTTCACTTTGTAACCAGTACTTATACATACTTTACTGAAGAAGTTTATTTGGAACTTTTTGACTGAAAGTCAGGGGTGCAAACGAAGGGTGTGGCTCATACTCTGCATGCTTCGGCTCCGTGCAAACTCGGCTCTCTCAGCAGTTCTTCAAGTAGCCGCTTGTTAAAGGGCAGGCATTGCAACGGAGCGTTTGCGGTGCAAAACCTTGTACTATACAGAGTACCTTGCATGAAATGTAGTGACTGTCTTATTCTTATCAGTCTTGGCTGCTCAACGTCACTTCATATTCGTAGGCCCCCTCTCCAGTCACCATACGCGGCGCCGATACCTTCATTACGCCGGTCAGTATCTGTACCCCGGTTAACACAATGGGCCCGGTTCCGGATGAACCTTCTGCTGATACCGGGCTGCGGGGATCAGATTCATCGATAGATCCAAACATTATCGTGCCGCTTCGACGATCACCTCGCCGTGAGCAAATGCCAAGTGGAAGGCGCCCACAGCCGGCTCCATTGTTGGAAGACGAGCATTCAACTAAAGGTAAAAGAATACAGAGTGGTTCAGATTTATCGCCCAGTGGCAATGTCGATTCCGAAGCCCAGAGTTCACCTTTCGGAAGTTGGTTAACAGAAAGTGGCGACGTTCAGCATGTCGGCGGATGCCGCACCAGCGCCAACCAGAAAAGTATGTGTACTTGTATGAACAGCGAATGCGTTTCTTTTGACCCAAAGGTGCTATTCCAAAATACGTATAGTATATAGCAATCAGCACTCGCATTTGCACGTGTGCCCGGGAGACGTAGAAATCCACAAAACGTCGTATTGGCCTATGGTGGTTTTGGCCCCTACCGGCTACTAACCTCGCATTCTTTCGTAAAATTGCCTCCTTTTAATTGGGTTAAACATTATGTTCGAGAAATAAAAAGGGGAGAACTTACAAATACGAACTCTTAACCGCTTCCGGTTGGGGGTACAAATGGCAGCCTCCCGAGTGTGGCAACGCGCTCTAGATTTCGTGCAAACCTTTTTACTTTGAAGCCTCAAACCATTTTTCTTGCAACCTCAATGAAAAGCGGAACAAAGTGTAAAATAATATTTCATATCTATAAGCAGACCGGCACGAAACTATTGACTCGCCTCCGCGGAGCATGCGCACACGATAACCTACTCTAAACCTAAAGATAGTTGCTTGCACTAGCCGCTAGTGCAAGCAAACGTTTGCAAAACGCGAGCGCTTAGGCGTCTGGGTAAATATATCGTATATATCTGTGCGTCTCGTACAGTCATATCTGTATATGATGGTTTTTGGGCTCATCCCATCGGTCGCGCGATCAGACACTTTACCGTGAATACTAAACAATACGAAAGTTGGAATAACGATTATTTTACAGAAAGCCTTCCTCCCCCCTGTGCGGAATGTTGTTGGCCGTCCTTCGGTGATTATTTTGGCAAGCGGACGAAATAATCATTATCATCGACACACTGTATATGCATGCAGACGACACTAATCAGCTGGGAGGATTAGCGGCAGCGATTATACTTTGACTTGTATTCACATATTTGTTGTTACTGTACATTACCTTCACAAAGCTATGGCTAGCAAGATTTACAGCAAACGTGTATTTTGATACATATGACGGAAATAAAAAGCGTCGTAAATGGCAACAGCCGCCTACAGCATCTGCAACACCGGGAACAGTCGCACTATGTTTATCACAAAACGTTCAATTTAACAGAATGAAGGTCCCCGTTCTGCAGCGCACTTTGCGATTGGTATTTAAATATGTGTCTGCCCATCTTCGCGGGTTTTCGGGTTCTGAACTGACATCCGGTACAATACAAAAATATCCCGGTGCCATACAGTTGTACATGCTCTTTGCCAGCCAAATGTAGCAGGAATGCTTCCTCGTCGTCCCAGGATAAATGGCACGCTTGGCACTGATATCTGCCACTACAGCTGTTCGTGATCGCATGTCCTGATTGAAGCAACGGTATTGTGGCAGCAAATCCCTCGCATCTGGTTCCCATAATCTGTTCCTTCTGCTTTCTGCCGTCGGAGAAACGTTCTTCAGACGGTATGTTCATTTTAAAGCTGGCTTCGAGATTATTCGTTGCCATAATATTTCTGGAAACTAAAAAAAACAAAACATATGTTGCGCTGGAATGTACACAAGGCGACTGATTTCTATACGTGCCCCGCTCAACTATTTTGCCCTTTTTTGCTTTTCCGGCCCTTACCTGTAAATTTGTTTTCTAATTCCTAATTACCCTTAAATTACAGTTATCAGTTTATAATTACTGTAATTTATTTGGTAATTATGAAATACTTATCGATTTTATCGATAATTTTACGAATTTAAAAATGAAAATATTTTTACTGGACATACCGCTCCGGGCTTCACGCCGGCTTTCAATTGCTTCCAGGCCTACTTTGGCATCGTCTGCGGTAGAGCGTTTATTTTTGCACTGCATAATACCCAGAGAATCGCTGGAACTATCAAGTAATTTGCTTCCGGCGTTCTGCGGTGGTAGATCCTCTTGTGCGGTCTGATCGTGCTCACGTTTAACCCGTGGATTCTTTCTTTTTTTGGGACGCGGAATGCGCAAAGCAGCACCTTGGTTTGTAATTGTTCTAGCTCCATGATTATCGTGGTCTGAGGATTTTGACGGATAGCCGGCTAACGCAGGGTCATACATCGATACCGAACCGCCCCAACAATTGACACTTGCAGCCGTTGCTGCAACAACCGTTGTTTCATCGAAGCGATTTTCCCATCCTGGTGCCGCAGTCGGTTGCACTGGTAGCTCGGTCGGGTGAGTATGCGCGATGTTGCATCGTAATGCGCTTGTTTCCGGAGTGGAGAAAGGATGCTTTGCCCGCATTAGAATTGCATTTAGAATTTGCGTCCCTCGAATTTCGTCTTGGCTGCTTAGAAATGGCAGCTGAACCGTGGAATATCCGCTTGTTTCCGGAGCGGAGAACGGATGTTTCGCCCGCATTAGGAGTGCATTTAAAATTTGCGTCCCTGGAATTCCATCTTGGCTGCCTAGAAATAGCAGCTGTTCCGTGGAATACACGCCCCACTCAGGACAATACATTCCGTTCCACAGCGTTGATCTACCAAAGAAGGCCCCATAAAGGAACTTTGTGATTCGATTCTACAGTACATGAAATAATATGGAATAGATCTAACAACCTTGCACTTAACAGCTTATTTTACAGTTCGAACTTTAGACACATGTATATTGGTATGCTGGACGTACTTGTACACATAGCACATTCACCATTTAACTATTACAGTATTTAAATTAAGGAAATGCTACGGCTGTTTTGAGTACATTGCCTTTTAATCAGAGAGAGGATAAGGATTTCGGTTGTTTTTTAATGTTTAATTTTTAACTATTAAGTAGTGTACCAGCGCTTGCAATTATTGCTATTTGGGTAGCTATTGCCAATAAATCTGTCAATTTACAGTATTTTGCCTGTAGTTACACCGCGACATACCGCGAATTGCGCTACAACAGACATTCTAAAAACGTTTTAATGAGGATTGAGGATTACGTTGCAGCGAGTTTCTTTTATGGCGAGTTCCGCTTCAAGGTTAAGCTATTACCCGATAACTGGAAAATGATAATTCTCTATAAGTTAAATAGGTAGTTGGAAATCACTGAACAAGTCTGGTATCTGCTGTACTACTCTAGTTATTAAGTTGTTATTAACATGCAGCAATCGCTTGTTTAAACGGCAAAATGTTGGCTCGAATAAAACCTGCATCTTATGTTACCGATACATAATAATTATTTAAAAAATTATTATTCTTGATACTATTATTATCTTGGTAAAAGTTCGCGGTACACACGGTCAAGTATAAAAACAACGATCATGTGGGAACGGATATAACATCATAATTATGATTGTAAAGCTATGTTAACAATTATTGTAAATTTTCTTTTTCAGGCTGTCCCTTTCAATCAGCAGGTATTTGGTGCAGTTAGTATACCGTTTACACAAAATATTTTTGTGTAAACAGTAAAATAAAGTTGATATTTGATGTTTCGATATTATCATAAAATAAATATTTTCATATAGATAGAAATGCTTAAGAAAGCACTATAATCACCGCCTTCATCACCGTATTTTCGAATAACCAAACTGACACCATGCTAGTGGCGTTTTATGAGCAAATTTCAGATTTTTTTCAACAAAGTGGGGGTATGCAAAAATGTGTTAACTAGCTACGAGGTACCGGAAAATCTGAAATCACTGCATGAGTCAACATGACAATAATCTTCATCAGTTATTCGTTTCGAAGGTAATAATTCTCGATGGCAGTGCGTCGAACTAAATTATGACATGCCAGCACATTTCTTAATAATGGCTAATGCATCCAATTCCTCTAATTGTTACCATACAAAATCCAAACTATTCAACGAAGAGCAACGTTTTTGTACTTACTTTCACATTATTTCACCGCTGCTTTCTTGACTGCAACAAAGCCGAAAGGAATTAGTCTAAACTCCGAATCAATAATACAGAAGAGAACTTTGTCACCCAGATACATAAATTATAGCGTCAAATCATACTGGCTGTAAATACCGCCGTTTTAAATTCTCCGTAATTCCTAAACAAAAAAATTTGGTAACATGTATTTATCATGTTTTCTGATGCAGAGAAACCATGATTCGTATGCATAAATTCCGGCCGCACTAACTGCAGTCTTCATCCTTTTTGACAGAACACCCAAAATCAAATGGGCATAATGAGCAAGGGTATACCTGGGGCTGGGATCATATAATTCCAGAAATATAGTTCATAAAAAGATGGCCGAGATGTGAACAACTGGAAATCAATATGCTCCACTCAGATTAAAGATTAGTACCGCAGTCTAAAACTCTATACTTTTGCACTGTTACTTCCGTTCGAACCACCTGCAATATGAAAAGTGGAAAATTAGTTAGACCGGGGTTCAAAAATGCATTGCTAATCTAGTTGAACAAACACTCTGCAACGGCAGCAGGCGCAGTGCGCATCAAAACCAAATATGGTGGCTTTGAAGACAGATTATGCACTTTTCCTGGAGAAGACTTGTCACCTACTTCATTGCTCTACAGTGAAATCTGTCAGTCAATCTTAAATTCGCGCTCGGCCCGATTAATGCGGATGAATATCTCAAGATGCGAGCTGCGCCCGGTCGTCGGGTCGATCCTGCACGCAAGATCAAGCAAGCTGCAGCACGCGGAAAGGGCGGAGTTTATGAAAATAAATCGCACCGTATGTGCGAGTTACATCAGAATAAACCGGCCCGTGTAAGCGGGAAAAATCAAAAGCACAAAGGATGGGATGCATTACTGTCTATTTTTTGTGCCGCACGTTAAGCCATCGTGTTGATAGTAACCGGCCGGCGCGGGAAGCTGCACTTTCAGTTAGTAACACGGTGTAAAGGGCAGACAAGAACGTACTCGAAGCTGCAGTTAAGAACCAAAGCCTAATTTTCAAAATTGTTTTCTTGTTTAAATTAATTTTTAAAATTAAGTTCTAAGTACTGCATCTTTCTGAAATTTCAAAAGAATTATGCTAGGAGAAAGAACTTTACTTTTTCGAATCTATGCGCGATCCGCCCTGCCAATGAACCAACCGGTGTACTTCCCCGAGCCTTGAAGTTACAAAAAAAACGTACCATAAACTTAGTTTTCTGCAGTTATGCACATCGCAGTTGAAAGGATCGGATACGTGATCGATATCCTGAATTCCGGATAGTGCGCGTAATATTTTGGATCGATTAAATTCCGAGATATACCGTGACCGGAGGCTGTGCGCAAAAAGGCCTTCCGGAATCCGGGCCATTGTAAATATCATTTGGTTCAAAAATGGCGTAAAAAAGCGGTGTCTGACTGAAATCCTTTAATATGGCCGATCAATGAATCTGCGTGTACTCCGTTAGAGACCGCTTTAGGTCCTTTATGGAGACTGGCTCCACCGCAAGCACGCCCTCATACCGCACATAGTACTCTTCTCCATATAACTGGGAATTAGTAGTCTTATTTAGCCACCGTTTAACGTGCTAGCCGGAAATTGGTCCGGAATCACAGCGGGCTGGTTGTTTATTTTTCTATCTTAAGAACCTCTGAATGTCGCTGCTTTCTCACAATATCGAACAGCTGGACAGATTTTATTCTCTCACTTAAAATCCAAAACACTATACACAAGTACTTTATAGATTCTCACAAGTAAGAACACAGAGTTGGTGGAAAAGAAAACAACACCCGCACGCACGGGCATTTCACACATTTCACTAAATTATACTCCAAGAGCAGGCATTTCCGACTTCCCCGTTTTGTCAAACTTGTGAGGATGACATTTTCGGCATTTTTTAACAAATGATCAGTTGCAGTACTCATGTCTCATAGAGGTACATTTGAACAAAATTTTTATTAGTGGGACCGTGGGATGCAGTAATATGTCAGTCTGATGGCCACTGGCGAATGAAAAAAATGTTTGAACAAGTGCTCACTTTCGCTATGGGAGCCGCAGCGAAGAGCAGCTCTTCCTGTATCATATAAAGGAAGGGAGAAGCACAGTGGTTCCGAAAAATTGAAACGCTTGCGGCTCCCCATTTGGTAGCGTCCCATTTGGTAGCCCCCATTTTGTTGGTTTCATGAGAAACTGTCAAGCTATAGGCTTACCGCGATTTTTTTCACAGTTTAAGCGGTTCTGTTTTATTGTGTGTACAGTGTATCCGTTGAGATATGAATCGGAGACTGAAAGGTCAGCCGCTTAGAATGTGATTATGATAAATTTCTTAATCTGATTATGCTTATCAGTGCTTTTGATTCTCTTGGACCGAGATCTTTAATTAAGGCTTTTTCTGGTAAGAGTGTGGAACATGAGGAACTGACTGTCGTTTACAGGCTTAGCTAATAAATACTTGGTAATTACAGCAGCTGTAGTAACTACAGATAGTTGTACTTAATTAGGCACTAATAAATCAATGGGCCAGCGCAGATGCCCGTGTTAAATACTGTATGTATACTTCTGGTACTGTAATGATTACAAATAAATTATTACAATCATCGTAAATTTTATTTCCTTGTATCTAGCACCCAGTGCAATTCTTGAATAACAAAAGCATGTTGTATTATCATTCGTAGCAACAAATGATCAATTTTAGTATATTAGTGTTTCAGATTAATGCCAAAAAAGAATGTGAAATCGAAACAATACCGTCCAAGGCACCGGATTTCATGAGTTACGAAATTCCCCACAAATATTGATCGAAAATCTATCTGAATCAGGGAAAGTGTGAGCAAACATTTGCAGCTAGTGGCATACAGATATAGTATGCTGGCCAAAGTGATGTACTTCGTCTTATGCTGGACATCTAAGCCTGCTTATGAATTTATGGACACAGAAATCAGGATTTTCATCGCTGAATTGTGACGAAAAGGTATGGACTATGGATTACGAAAAGGTCTGTAAAAGGTAGGTTAGGTATGTTTGAATGGGCACATCAGTCATATATTGTCATTAGCCATCAGTCATATAAACAATATCAGAGAAGTTTTCAATATAGCCCAGTTTTCGTAATCTGAAAGCTAGATCAGCAGAAAAATTCTTCATGTAAGTACTGTATATCAAAAGATCGCACAATACCCCAGTTTTTAATCACTTAATTTTTAAGTATTTATTCAATTTTTCTGCAAAACTAAAGTCGACAAAAATGTTAGCAAACTGAAAGAACTTTAGCCAATCTGACACGTCGACAGCAACAGGAAAAGTAGCCGGTAATGTTATGTACGTTCTGGGACAACAGTCAAAAAATCGTGTGCAAGTGATAAACAACGTAAACTTCCTAGCAATTCAGTTTTCAGCGTCCTTAAGCAGCCGAGAGTTGCCGGAAGCAGAGCCGGCTTGGATGTCGTGGTTTCCGGCTGCTCGTCACGGCGGTGTACGATGTTCGTGTAAGACTACAGTCGGCTTATCCTACCGATGCCGGCAATCACCTACGCGTTGTTCCCCGCGCATCCCGCTGCTCCTGATGTACCGCACAGAAAAATACCGGGAATTGAAAAACAAAACTATTAATTTCGTATACACATCCTATATGGCAGCTTGCTGTTAATTGATAACTGTTAAAATTGTTAGATGGACATCCCCTCTCGAGTATACCTTTAACACCATGGGAACGTTGAACCATCTGCATGGGTATATACTCGTACACATAATTACATAATTACATATTTACTACTTTGCCTATTATTTGGTTTTATCGGCCCTGCTTTCATGGTCGCTTTCGCTGTACGCGTTAAGCTTAGTAAACATGAAAAAATAACAACTCGTAAAGCAGTTTCATTGCATGTTATTTTCCTAATTTTTGTGTTTGATTCGTAGCGCCGGACGGTCGCCTGAATGGGATCGAGACCACGGTATGTGAGCTGGTATTACACTCAACTTTTTTGAACTTTAACCGTTTAAGCTTTTTAAAATTGCGTTATTTTCTTGCAGCCTCCCATCTGGGTTCCATCTCCCATGCTGAGTGAAGAGCACCATCTGCAACTTGCTCGATAGCATACTAAAGCAGCCCAAGTCTTGCGCGAAAGCCATCGCCGTTTACCCAACTGTATCGCTCCCACTCTGTCAACTTCCGTCGAGCCCGCGATCATCGTGATTGACGACAGTGACGACGAACGAGTGGTTACCAAAGCGGAAGGATCCATCTGGTGCTGCACGGAAACGCAGAGACCGATCACCTACCGTTCCCGCTGCGTTCCCGCGGCAACCGATCGCCCCTGTCGATCAGCAGTCGCGAGCGCCACGTTTGAGATCGTCAGCATGCGCCTCCGAGCCGGTGTCCGGGATCATCCCTGTATGCGGCATTCCACCGGATGTGGTTAACTCATTCCCACAGCCCTAATTCAATCACAACCGCTGCCTGCTGCGAACTCCGAGAATGTAACGGGATCAGCCATTCTCGACGAACTGCTGGCTGCTTATCCGGGTGTTGACACGGCCATGTCAGAGGACGAAGTAAACGAAGAACTGTTGTTGTTGTCTGCAGACGATCTGCGTGCGCATGTTCGGCGGATAACACATTTCGATGTACGGTTATCCCAAATATGTCATGTGCCGTTGTCACAAATGTCAAAAGATTCAACACCGCCCATTCATTACCGCTCTACATTAGTACTGTACTGACTACGAAGTACGAACTGGTGGTTGAAATTAAACAGCACTGCATTTTTTGGTTGTGGTTCAGCGAAAGAATTTCTATGTGCTCATAAATCTAAACTACGTATACGCACTTAACACGTTATATCCGGACTCGTGACTCGTGAGTGCTTAACAAGGGGTTGGTCTGCTTAATAAATAACAAAAATAACCTTGACTGGATATTTTTTGTGTATTCTTTAACGGACCTGAGCAGTGGCGTAATTATAAAATTATAAAATTCACTTGTAGGGACACTGTACCACTTTTGCCGGCTGCCAATGTGAGACAACGACCGGTTGCTCATCATTCATTTTACTTGGAAGAAAAGAACGAGCACAAAGAGCATCAATTACCCTCGTCACCGTGATCTTGAAAGGTGGACGCTATTAAGCGCATTGCAATGACTTGCAGTGGTCCACGTCAACACTACCATCTTGTTATAGCGTTATCAAGTGGATTATGAGTTATGACTGCATAAACTCCAACTCAAGATGTGCATCATCTACCCAATCATTCGTTTTCAAAATCTTTTTTTTAATGATTTATTCTTAAAAAATTGAATATCTGGATGTGCAGATAATTTTGCACTTGAGCATGCGATTTGAACGATCAGCATCTGCTATAAAAGAAGTGCATTTTATTGTCGAAAGGCGGTGGAATCGGTGTCTGGACTCTGGAGCAGCCAACGGCCGTGCGGTTATCAGTTGAACAATTACAAAATTCAGGAACAATCGGCGAGGAAGATCTTTCATTCAATTACCCACTAAATATCTGGAATAATAAGGCTTGTAATGGCAGTGGTGGTAATAAAATGGAACTAAAGTTTTGCGTTTGTTGGCTGAACAAACCGCGTGGATTCATGGTAATGCCGATACATGTAATATGTACATAATTCGAATAATTGTTCTGGTTGATATTATTTTTAGCAATTTACCAGTTGCGCAGTAGCCTGTAGCTTATACGTACCCCACACACCTTTGTACTCGTATTTTTTTGGTAATCTTTTAACTATAAGCACCAGTTTTAGCAGTGCCGATCCTTTGTAATAATGATCTAAGTAACAGTTGTAAAACTTACAATAATTGTACGTACATACAGCACGTACTGCTTTGACTTATTATACGGTCGTTTGTAAATGATCTGCCGCCATGTCATGCATCACTAAATCGTATTTTCTTCTTTCAGTTTTAAGATAGAAATCTCTCTGTGGAGTTATGCAGACCTTTTTTTTAATGGATGGTGCACTTCGGTAATCAAAAGAGAGGAACGGACCATAGTACTCTACAATACCTGGGAGCTCAAAAGCTATACATATTATATTTTATAACAGATGTCGCGAGTGCAGCGCAATATGGATGGAGCGGAAACGGGCAAATACATTGGCGGTTGGCTGCCGCTGGTAAGCAGCAGCAATATTCCCGAAACGCCAGTTCTGGATGGAATCCTGCAGGCGCAGTATCCTTTCTCCACTGAGGAAACCAACATAATGCACTGCCAGTTAGCACAACTTCACGCACCTCAGATTCTACCAAATGCCGTAGAGCAAAGATGGCTCGGTCCTTTAGATTACCACACTTCCTCACCAGCGGTCGTCCAGGACCGCTCCGGAGGAATTCGGCACTCGTCTGCTCAAGTATCATCCACCCAGAGTTTTCACTTGCAAACAGTACCGGCGTTGCCGCAGCAAGAAACTGGGTATATTAACGCACCGGATACAGACGAAATGGCTTCGGAAATAAAAAAGGAAATCTTGGATTTTTTCCTTGCAGATTATCCATCCTCTCAACACAATATCGAACTTGAACTTATCAACTACATGGCACAATCGTTCAGACGACTATACTTGTTGCAAACCAACCCTGCATTCGTTGGTTCATTCATCCGGCTTCCAGGGATCACAGGGCGCACCGGAAAAAGCGACGCGACATTTCAGTGCGCGGAGCAGAGACTCTCTCACCCCAGAAGTCAAAAGAGAAATCTTGGATTTATTCGACAAAGGCCACACTCGCTCGTATATTACGTGGCAGCTGAAGCTGTCCCGCGAAAGCATTACGCAGATGTTGTGCGACGCTGGAAAAATGAAAAAATTTCGAAAAAACAAGGAAACTGTGTACGAAGAGTTGCGACCGGTTATTGAGAAGCTCTTCAAAAAGGGCTGGTCCTATCAGACGATATCGGAGTGCACCAAAATTGAAATGAAACATGTGGAAGAGATAATAAGGGGTGCCGGTTAGCTCCATAAGCGCATTCCAAAACGTCCTCATCTGTTCACCAGAAGTGCATTCAAAAACGGTGATCCTGCTGACAAGGGACATCGTGTTTTTCCTGCAACACTATCAGCAATTCTGCAGTTCGCTCCGATACAAAGAAAGGATGCTGAATAATGAACTTTTAGTTTTCAAATACGAATGCACAAATTCTTTTGCTGCTCTGCACTGACATTTTTTGCTGCTCTGTATTAATGAAAGTCTGAAGCAAACCGAATTTGTTGAAATCTACAGTAGTACAGAATACAGAATGCTCGGAAGATCCGTTCTTCTCTATTGCACCCGACCGACTTCCTGTTGTTCCTTTTGTGTTTGTATGTGTATTCATTTTTATGCTTCAAGCTGATAAGGGAAGTTTTAACTAAAAGAAATAAGCATGTTTGTAAGGTTAACTGGGTAAAAAATTTTAACAACTGGTGAGCAAAATATAAGAGCATTTTGTCGCCAAGTGGGCAGCGAAGTACTTAATTGTACGCGTTTCGTTTAACAGCGCGCTTTATTAATTCCAGCCTTTGCTAACTGAATTGGTGGTGGCATGAATTATCAATTCGCTTTTTAGTGTATTGGAGTGGGCTGCCAAAAAAATCGAAAGCCTATAGGTAGTGCTGAATCAGCACACGTGAGGGTTTGTTTTCCTTGAACAGAAGCCGGAATTCTAATCCAATCAACCAGTCATGTGGAAATTACTGGTGGAGCCTGCGGCAATTATTCGCTGATCGAATACCAGACTTTGGAACGGTCGGAATACTAACATAATTCATACTTTGTATATGTTTGTTTAGTTTCATTTGGCAGAACCAAAAATTAAACACGCCGCCTTCCATGATGTAAAAGAAGAGTAACTCGGTTCCTGTTCTCTTATTCCTACGTTTATTATGTTAGCTGTACAGGTCGTATATTATACGAGTTTATTTCAGGTTACCAAAAATATTAATATTGAATGCCGTTAATGAAAGTGTGTTCAGTAAGGTAAGGAAACGGCGCTAATTAATGAGAACCGGCTTATTATGCTGCTAACAATTCCCATAATTTCTCTCTTGCTTTTAAGTGAACAGACTCCCTTGCTTTTCCGTCTCATTAATTATTTATTTTTCTAATTAAAACAACACCGATGAGTAATCTGCATGAGAATTTTGCATTCATAAACGTATGAAAATTGAGTACTCGTATAGAAAATACTCTTATTTTAGCGGAAGTGACCGTATTCATAACATCTAGGTATTTCGTATTTATTCACTACCATTTTTGCTTTCGTGTCTGAAAAACGATTCCTGGTATACAAATCAGTTAATGATTTAATGTAGAGTCAAAATCAAGACCCGATTCCTTGACTTTTCCGGAAATTACAAAACAAATTCTGAAGTTTATGAAATTCGATTTAAATGTAAAAAATGTCAAGATTTCAGTACTGGATCAGATTCAGAGTTATCCTTATTACAGTAAAATTTAAAAAAATGGGATAACAACCTTTTGGTACATTTTAATTCGCCATACGTTTGGAATCGTTGTTGCGCGCATAAACGATTTTCAGGCTGTAAATCTGCTGGCGATAAAATAACATACGTGAGACAACACCTAATTACAAACAAGTGCTTTGGAATGCGCGGCAGCATAGTATTATGTATTGTAGTCGCAAAGACTCTGATCGGCGCAGTCATATTAGTCAACGCTGGGGAAAAAGAAAAAAAATCATAACGAATACTTGTGAGTTGGTAGTCCTAATATAAGGAGAAAAACCAAGCGGCTCGAACAGGAGTGTGGGACTGCGACATCCCAAGATGCCCGAGAAACAAACTACAAGTATCAATACGCGACACCTCACACAGGAAGAGAAACTGGAGATCGTGGATCTATTTGACAAAGGTTGCAGTTGCGTCCACATCATGCGGAAGTTCAGTGTGTCCCGTCACTTTATCAAGCGAGTGCTGATCGCTGCTGGGAGAACGGTCATCTTCACCGAGCAAGATCGACAGCGGTACGACGCGCTGCGACCGGTTGTTCTGCGGTTGTTTCGGCAGGGATGGTCCTTTCAAATGATAGCGCAGCGATTTAAAACTTCGCTATTATGGGTGGAAATGATAGTAAGGGCGGCCGGTTTAACTCCGGAAACACCGCCCGGACGGTCGGTATCTGTTAACGGGGTCCCAGCAAGTAGCTCGCAACTTAAATTTAAATGGCCGAATATTATTGACATCATTACGATTGACGAGGAGGACTCTGCAGGGCAAACTCCTTATACTCCAAAAACAAATGATCCATGTACCGTACCCCAGCTTAATCCAACCGCCGACGGTGGGCATATCTCCAATTCCGAGATCAGTTCACCTGCTGATAACAACAAGATGTTGTGCGGTAACCAGCCGTACAAATACAAATGTCCAACAACAGAGAACGTTGAGCTTTGCCACGACATAAACGGCATAATTGCTAAAGATCCCAGTTGTAAGTCCAGTTAGGTTTACCTTTACATATTTTCAAATTATTAATAAAAACAATCACTTAACTACTAGTGCATGCCGGTATACACATTTTAGTTTTAGTGATAATGCGGTAGTATTTGCCACTTTCAGCCAGAATACGATTTAACCTCTTTCTAAAATTAGTGAACGCTTTTTTAAATTGGTGTTCTCGTTCACAACCTTGCACAACCTTTCAATCGGTTTACACATTTTTGCACTACCTTTTACTTCATACACATCCTTGGGCGCATTACCTTGCATACCTTTCAATCCGTTCAAAACCTTTCTTTTGTCCGCTTGTCATCTCCTTTCATCAGCAGAAATGAAAGAAAACTTCGTAATATATTTCCCGCATCATTATTTTGCAAAGATAAAACCCATTAATACAACAGAAGTACTCAGAAAAGGAAGGCAATCAAGTAGTGGTAACATGCTTCCGTGTATTACGGAAAACAGCAGGCGAACTGCTATTGAGAATGTCGTTTCCGCCCTGGTTAAATTCTTGTGGAAATTCCGTAGCCAAAACGCAGCAGAAGGAATTGGGCGTTTGCGGTAGAACAGGTCGTATGGCGGCGGCATATGCGAAATCGAAGGTGCAGGTGATGACCCTCACCGGTTCGAGCTCTGATATCCCCACTTCCACCTGACTGCCCTGTTTATTGCATTGAGTAACAAGACAGTTGCGAAAGCAATAACATCAAAGGCCACCATGTAGGTGGGCGGTGGTAAATGAAAAACAGGAGAGGGCTAATCATCAGAATGATAATACAGCAGCTCGTCAACACGACTGATCAGAAGAGAATGCAGCGGCAGTCGGCCGTGCGCACGGCCGGCGGCAACTCACGCGTATTCGCCAGGCATAACAAAGAAAGTGGGCTGAGCTGACGCGAAACAAAAGCAATACGGAATTTACCACGAATTTAATCTCACTTAGCTAGCTAACTGTCCTTTAAATTTTGTGGAAATTCGCAAGCAAAACGCAGCAGAAGGAATTGGCGTTTGCGGGTAGAACAGGTCGGCGGCGCGGCGGCATATGCGAAATCGAAGGTAGGATGACCTCACCGGTTCGAGCTCGATATCCCCACTTCCACCCGATCGCCCCAAACAAATTACTCCGTCCGATAAGGGTCTATAATGGAAGGTGCCACGGAGTGGTGAAATGTAACGGTGGTTGTCACAGTGTCGGTCCAGCTGATTTCGCGGTCGGTACTGGTATTTCTAACGGCGATATCCCTCCAGTCCTCCAGTGTCCGGCGGCATTATCATAAGCGACGACTGCAACTACACAAGCGTGCAGCGACAAGAACAGATTACGTGTTTGCGGAGGTAGGCTGAGGCGCGGCGGCGTATGCGACATCGGGGTGCAGTGGCGACCTCACCAGAACGTGTATCCGATACCCACTTCCGCCCGACTGCCCCCAAACAATCTGTCAAGTCCGGTAAAGTTTCAGGCTGAGGTGGCCTGGGGTGTTGAACGTAGCGGCTGTAACGATGACATCACCAGCGCCCGGTTTGTAGGATTAGTATCAGCACAAATGCGGCCATCGTAGCAGCAGTTTTACCATGTTTATAGTCGGCAAGCGGATTGTCGGCAAGCAGTCGGCGACGGCGATGGCGTGGTGCATCATGCATGGAACGCGCACTCGCCGGCACTGTCACCTTAAGGGTCGCTTTCGTACAGTTGACGGCCTGGTGGTTGAATCCCACACCGGAAACAAGGTGAATCCGGTGCGCTTTTGGTATACCGTGCAGCTGCCGAAATTAAATTGCGACAGATATCTGCTTCAGCGGCGGAACGCTTTGAGGGCTGCCCATGCCCTGGTTGCTCTTCCGTGGCAGCGGCAGCTGCTAATAAGTGCCCAGCCATGCCAGTTGTGGCATTCGTCGTCCTCTTCGGTTCCTTCACGCGGCGAATATTGTCAGTCATTCTACACGGTGTTACGAAGCGGATTTTGATACAGTCGATGTACGTATCCTCATGCTGATGCGCCCAGAGATCGTACTCCCGCGGGTGGCTGGTCATGAACGCACGGAACTGCCTGTCATACTCAAGCCAATTAGCGGTTGGTACGTCACGCTCAGCATACGACGCAACAATGGCCAGGTATTTGAAAACTTCGCGCTTAACTGCGGTGCAACGCGATGCGGTAGCTGGCAATACGGAAAAGGCCCTGCCCATGCCTCGAACGAGTCAATTCTGACTTTGCCATCTTCAGGGGTAAGGGTTATCTTCCCATCCACAAAGCGACAGATTCGACTGCAGCTTTTTGGCTTTTCGACCCTGCTTCTGCCGCAGCAGCAGATCAAAGTCCACATATTCCGAAAGGTCCAGCAATTTCTTTCGTAGCTTTTTTATCCGAAATGGATGGCAGCGGTGAACAGAAGAAGGAGATGCAGACGGTTGCAGCATCGGTGGCCCTAAGTGGCTGAACACATCAGGGCGGTTGCGGCGTTGGGCACTGCGCTACGCTCCGGCGAGCTGTCACTGTCGTTTTCCTGTTCAGAGGATGAGGAACCACTTTCCTCACCTCGTTCCGATGACGCTTGCGTTTTCCTTTATCCGCTCTTGTTTGTAGAGTCCACCTGGCGCACGATTCTCCCGAAGTCGTCACCAAGCTGGATCTGAAGGTTTGACGAAGGCGACAGCGGCCGGATTGTTTGAGGCTGCTGCTGAGATTTCTGATGGTGAGCAGCGAGTCCAGCTGCTGCTGATGTTTTTGCTGCTGCTGGAAGACGGACTGAAGAGTAGGCTCCATTAACTGAACATCGCTGGATCCAGATGGCTCAGGCCGAACAATGACACTTTTAAGGCGCTTTCGATGGCACTTTCTTGCGAGGGTTCCTGACGGCACTGCGCTGCTTTTAGCAGTTTTCCCGCTTCTGGGTGGCTGGAGGCATTATTTACTGATACCACTGGTGGAATTTCTAATTTATGGAACTGTTGAGGAAAATGAAAACAGAGGGCTAATCATCAGAATGATAATACAGCAGCTCGTCAACACGACTGATCAGAAGAGAATGCAGGCAGTCGGGCTGTGTGCACGGCCGGCGGCAACTCACGCGTATTCGCCAGGCATAACAAAGAAAGGGCTGAGCCGACGCGAAACAAAGCAATACATGGAATTTACCACGAATTTAACTTCACTTAGCTAGCTAACTGTCCTTTAACTGGTTCAGAACGTTGTTCAGCCTCCACGCCAACGTGGACTCCCGTCCTTGTCCTTCCCTCTCCTTCAATGAGGCCCTGATTCCGCTTCGAAGGCTGCATGCCAAAATTCCTGGATTTGTTGTCACAAAATGGATTGCCGAGACGACATAAATGAAATTTTTTGTGCTATTAACTGGATGCAGCAACATCAATTCACAAATCACTCACAGAACTTAGATCGAAATAATTTAAGGTACAATTCAGTGGCGGAAGTTGAGTAGCAAGTAAATAAATCCGTTTCCCACTGGTTATTTACCACAGTTAATTGATTTAGGAGCAATGCCGGAAACAGGTAGTTAACGGAAAGAATGCTGGCATCGAAAGTTATTGCACGGAAAGAAGAATAGCGCGAAAGGCTGTGAACCAAGTAAAAGGTTGCGAAAGGGTGCGAAAAATTGGTCATCTGTTAAATTTGAAGTGCAATTTTTTCGATTTGGGCAGAACTACAAGAACAAATTATTTTGCTCATATTTTTAGCACCATTTTTGGCTGTTGAAAACCCTTTTTATACTAGAGTACCTCATACTGTCATCATGTCTTACATCATGTCATGTCGTATATTACAGTGTATGTGTTAATAATTTACCAGCATTTCACCTTGCACATTTTACCTTCAAAAACGAAATAAAATTCTTTTTTGGCACCCAAGCACCAGAAAATGTCAAGGAAATGAGGGCTCTGGGGGCCGCTCCGGAACGAGAAAGCGCAGCCGAGTCACTTTCCACCGGCGCAGTAATCCAGTGGGTACAAATGGTGGAGCATCCTTGCGCTTCTCCGGACACATTCGTGGAAACTGCTACCGAAGTATCGTTACTTCCGCCAAACAGTGCGACCGTGATCGGCCGCAGCGCAAGATATCAGTGCGAGATTTGCTGCTTTTCCTCCGATGAAGGAGAAGCTTTTCTGTTGCATTTGGCAGACAAAGAGCATGAACAGTTTTGTGCCACTGGGATATTCTTACATTGTACAGGATGTCCATTCAAAACCCGCAAACCGGCTACGATGGGCAGGCATATTATTACGTACCAATCGCAAAGCGCGATATACATGTATATGCAAAACGTGAACATGCATTCTGTGAGGATTTACAAGGTAGAAACTTAATGACTATCGAAATCTTAATAAACCTTATACGATAAACCTTATACGTGATGCTTAATTAAACCTTATACGATCAAGTTATCTTTTGCGTCTGAGCTGTTATTGTTATGCATCATGTTGATGATAATAAAAAATAATAATTTTCTCATGAACCGGCCACTTTTACTATGCATGCAATAAGACAACTGGCCATTAGTCCCCATGCGCATGTAACACGGTGACGCTGAAAATTAAAAAAAGCTCGTTGCAGAAGATGCTCTTGCATCGGAACGGAGAAAGTGGAGCATGTAGAAATCTGATTGTAAGCAGAAGAAGAGTAATCTAGCCTCAGTAGAACCCATTGTGGAAGCAATCCAGTGAGTAGCATATGTTTTAGGTCATATTCAGGCCCATTCTTTTTGAGAGCTACTGGTTACACTTCCAAACTTGTGCTGGTCGAAGAAACGTAATTATAACTAAAATTAAATAGAAACTAAAAGCATAATTTTTTTGTTTTCATTTTTACTGCGCAAAAATCGAACGGCCTTAGGTTGCGTTAACATTTGTGCAAGTGATTTGCGGATGATGGTCAAAGTTATTCTGAAATACAGGGCACTATTTTAAGTATCTAATCTACACCTATGGCACACTTCGAACGCGACATTTTTTTACGGCCATCCTTAGACGATGTAGTGCACCTTTCCGTTGTAGCCTATGAGCCTATGTATTCGCAAAGGCTGTTTATACAATGGCAAAATTTTTTAGCCATGCCCGTAGTTACCTGCATTTTCATTATTTTGTGCGGTGGCCTGTAGTAACTCGTAGTCTCGGTAGTTTGCGTAGTCTTCGGTAGTCCCGGTAGTTTACGTAGTTCTTTCCTGTAGTCTCTGCAGTTTGCGTAGTCTTCGGTAGTCCTGGTAGTTCGTGCAGTTTCCTGTAGTCTCGGTAGTTTGTGTAGTTTCCTGTAGTCTCCGTAGTTTGCGTAGTTCTTTCCTGTAGTCTCAGTAGTTTGCGTAGTCTTCGGTAGTCTCGGTAGTTTGTGTAGTTTTCGGTAGTCTCGGTAGTTTGCGTAGTCTTCGGTAGTCACCAGTAGTCTCGGAAGCCTGTGCAGTTTCCTGTAATAACCCTAGTTCGTGTAGCCAGCGTAGTCGCCTGTAGTTTCGTAGTTTTGGTGGCTCTTAGTAGTGTCGGTAGTCTTTATAGTATGCGTAGGCGCAAAACCAAACTACTGAGACTACAGCAAACTACGCAAACTACCACCGACACACTACAAACCGGCTACGCAAACTACAGGAAACTACAGAAAACTACGCAAACTTCGAGACTACACCAAACTGAAACTACACAAGGCTACGTAAGCTACCGGGACTACAGGAAACTACAGCATACTACGCAAACTACCAACACTACTGAACAAACTACGCAAACTACCGAGACTACAGCAAACTACGCAAACTACCGAGACTACAGCAAACTACAGCAAACTACGTAAGCTACCGGGACTACAGGAAGATACAGCAAACTACGTAACCTACCGGGACTACAGGAAACTACAGAAAACTACGCATACTACCGAGACTACAGGAAACTACATCAAACTATGCAAACTACTAAGACTACCGAGACTACAGAAAACTACGTAAACTACCCAGACTAACAGTGAGTACTAAGGTTTTCGGAAGTTGACAAACAGAATATGAAGTGTAAAGGTTACTACGGTGGCTACTAGACTACGACCTGGAACTGCCTTCATAAAAAAATTGTTGTGTTCGAAGTGTGCCATATCTCTACTATTTTTTATGAACTCGGGGAATGTAGACTTGTAGTGATACTTTATATGGAGTACGGACCGCGCAACAATTACTGTAGAAAAGTAACGGATTTCGGTAATACGAATAGAGTACCAGATTTCGGTGACGAGCCTTTTTTCGTATCACCGAAATCTGAAATTTGGTATGATCTCTTCACACCTGACATGTTGGTTTTAAAATATTTAGAAGTGTGTACGGCAAACCTAAGGCCATTGGTCATTCAAACGCTTGTTACCATGGATGCCATAAGCATAACATGGGCTTGTCCGTTACCACGAGCACATAATACTGTCCCGTATTGTAACAAGAAACAGCTTGTCAAAGTGCGAGCTTTCTTTTTAATTTGGAGTACAGTTAGCTGAGTTATGGACTGCATAGACAATAATAAAAGCGAAGTGTCTCGGGGCAACGGTTTTTATTGGAACTGCAGTACTTTATACTGGTATTGTTGCCTGGAAATGGAATTCCACAAAAAAAAACAATATCGCGGAAATAAAAAAAAATTGTTTTTTTTTAACCTTCCTGAAATATGATTGGCCCCTTGGGGGCCGGGGGTCTCTTCATAGTCGCTTTACTTACTTTGTTCGCAGAACATAATATAATTCAGACTGTATGGTCCCAGTTTTGCTCTACTAATACTAGCCCAAATTTGCCATGAAAGTCAAAGCTGCCAACATTCTTCGCCGTAATGCACGTTTGCAGTAACTTACTTGCAGTTGCAAGTACCTGATTGAAGAAAAAAACCTACTTTACTGAGTCGATTCCGTCATAACTTTTTCCTCCAACGTTGTACCGTAATAAGAACGATAACAATTAGGGTTGATTAATAAGAAGATGATCGTGATCTGCTTTCCTTTCTACTGTATTTTGTGCTTTTATTGTATTTTTGAGAAATTCTCATAAAACCTATACCGTTTGCAACTCATAGAAACTTCTCATAAAACTAGAGCGTTTACTTTTTTTGTTGTTGACTTGTTAATGGTAGGACAAGCTCGTATTCTTAAATTCAAATACATGTGGCTTTAGTTTGAACCTTTTTTGATGAGCATCTTGTACGGCGGTTCGGTACTTGTATCCCGTAAGAGCACTTTCGATTATGTAACTTTTTCGTGCAGCACCGTGGACCTTTTGCAGCTGTCCGCTGTCGTGAAATGATATAAGAGAGGCCCACGTACGTCGGTTCGCGTCAATGCTGCTTGAGTACACATTTTCGGAAATTTTTCATCGATTCGGGTTGTAAACAATAAGTTGCGCAAAAACCTTTTTTCTGCTAATATACAGATATGTACTGTATTTCATAACAAATTTTTGAAAATTTTCACACCGGCAGCAGTAACAATAGCCTACGCACGTGGGCTTCTTTTACGTCATTTCGCGACAGCAGACAGCTGCAAAAGGTCCACGGTGCTGCAGGAAAAAATTAATAACTTGTATTGCTCTGCATTACACAGTATGTGATAGTATGCAAACTTTTAATTGTTGTCTGGCCGCGCACCCTTGACGATGGCAGCTAAAAATATTTTTTTAAGAATACTAAAATAGTCAAAAAATTCTTATATTTTGTAAAATGGTAGTGCCATTTTACAAAATATGAGAATTTTTTTACTTTGGAGGGGGAAAATGTTCCCTGCATGGTTAGTAATTTTTAGAAGAATTAAAAATGATCTGACTACTGATTACACGTATTAGCCAAAAAAGCCTCTGACATTGTACGCTACATTAATACGGTGTTCCCAATGCATAGTGCTGTATGTATTAAAGCAATCATTGCAATGGAATCAAGTTTAGATACGTCCACTTCGACCATGGCCGATGAAAATATTTTTTTAAGTATACCCAAGGGTTACTCTGTCTTCCTGCAAAAAATGAAATTTTTCGGAGTCGGGAGCACGTGATCGGGCCCTGGTTAAACATCATTTCAAACAACCTCAAAAATATATCTTCAGAATGATTAATTATTGTAATTAAAGAGGGAAAACGCCCGCTACGTCATTTGGAGATCAGCATTTCCGAAGAAAAGTGCCATTTTCATTGGCCAATGGGTTTTCTAATTAATGGCCTTTCTATCCACTACTCTTTCTGGTTAACACTCACGCAGTTTCTCACTCAATTCACGTTGAATTTTACGAGTACTGTGCATCGCGCGGGCAGAAGCCTCCTTCGTATTAATTCTGGTCTCAGCACCAATCTGATTCGAGACGGTACATTTACAAAAAAAGGACTACGAGTACCGTAATTATTTAAGTATTCGATTTAATGTTTTAATGTTTAACTAAAGTTGCACACCATGTAGATTATTGTAGCCAGTGCTTCAGACGAAAACAAAAATCAGGAGGTTTCGAAAGCTTTTCCAATGTGAGCCAAATCATGGTGTCACAGCGGACGGGTCCACTGGAAGATCTTAATATTAAGTCCTTAAAATGAAGTAAACTCCTCAAAAATTAAGCTTGTCAAAATTAATCGCTTCCGCGCAGGAATGTTAAAATTTAAATGTGTGCCCTGCGCAGTTCTTGCACCTGTACACCTTTGCGTGCCGCACTGTATGGCGGTATGTGAATTCGTCTGGATTAGTGCTGTCAGATTACAACTGGTCCGGCTTGCACAAAGGTCATTTTTAAGCTAGCGGCGATATGTTGGCTGTATGTTACTTGTTAGTAAAAACAGTATCAATAGGGTGCCCAATTTATTTACTGTTACAACTGTATGTGCCCGGACCGTTTCACTTTCCTGCCGTACTTCCGAAACCTTTCTCACTTATTTTATGACAACATGTAGCCAAAACAAATATCTTGCATACACTGGCGTAAAAACAGTTTGTCTGCGCAATATCCGTTTGAGAATGTGCAAACCAGGGTTGGTTTCACATCTGTATCCTGGTAGTTTACAGTTTTGTACAGAACGGCCTGCACGGTATCTAATTCTAAAACAGCTATCCATGCGTTGTTTAATTGATGCGAACCGTGCACTGTGTAATAAACTATTGCCGCAGAGGTTGTGTGCGGATGTGAATCCCGTAAACTGGTTCTAAAGCAACTATCCATGCGTTGTACAAGTACACAACTGTACTTAAGCCGATGTTATACTTCGATATGACGGCCAATATGTCTAGCATACGCTGTCATATATGTGATCGGCATTCATACTTTTATGCTGCACATTTTTTATGCTGAACATAAAAGTATGAATCGTTTGCATAAAAAATGTTAACATAAGCGCATGACGCTCGCATGTTGACTATGCTACATAAAAAATGTCGAAATGAACCTGCTCATTTCGACATATTAATATGTCAACAAAATGCTCAGTAAAAGCTGTCGCCCCGTGTAGGTGGCGATATTACTACCACGGGCGGTTAACAGTCTGCTTTTAGCGCACTCGACGTCGAACAAAGCAGTTCCTGTTTTATTATTATTTAATTTACTTATTCTTATCAATATTATGGTTATCGATTGCCGTTTCACTTCTGTGGGGCCTCGGAATATCAGATGTACGAATAAAGTTTTTCAGCGTCGTGCCAATTTAATTTTTGAAGATGTCTCGTACTGCTGTTGGTAGTAGTGCTGCAAACAAGCGCACTATTGAGCATAAATTTAATGATCGCGAGAAAGAAACTTTAATCAGCCTCGTGGAGGATGCGAAATGCTTAGGGATATCAAGGACCCAAGTTATCTGAAACCAACAAGACTCCACAATGGGAGATTATCGCAGGGCTAATTAACGGAAAAACTGGTAGGTGTATTGGCACAGTGCAAAAGTACGATGTTGCTTAGTGGATGACTGTTGTTTAGTGGATGACTGCAAAATTCAATGGAACCACCTCCGTAATACGTTTCGCGAAAAATACAAAATCATCGTACTAAAACCTAGCGGAGCTGAGGCCAAGCAGGCAAGAAAGTGGTGCTGGTTCGACAGGTTGTTTTTCCTCCGCGATGTCTTCGCATTTGCTAAGTAAGTAACAAATTACTTCATACATTGTAGTGTTAAATCACATGTGTTAAATTTAATTTGATTATTACATGTGGTAAATCATAAACGTCGCAATTTTTTAGTACGGTTGACAGCACTGCGGTTGTTGTTGAGAATCAAGAAGAAGGAATTGAACAAGGTGGAGAGATCGAAGAAGGACAATCTCCGGATACCACGCCAGCAGTTTTGAACGACGAAGACTTTGATCCTCGCACGCCTGCCAGCACGTCGTCTGCGACTAGCAACGCTTTTGTTGTCTCAAGCTGTCTACCAGAAAGCAGCGGGTTAATGACTTCCCAATCTAGTGAAAAAGCTTGTAAGTGACTTTTTTGTACCTTTTTGATATAGCTTTGATTAACCTTTCAAAATGTCTAGGAATACGACTTTGAAATTTAATTTTAATTTGCATTATAAGGCTTACTTTTCAAAAGACGCGGGGTGCTGCAGTAATTTCTCGTGATTTACCAGAGCCCGTGGAAAAAACAGGTTTGATAGTGGACTTGGTATGCATGCTTACTGGTTTGTATACTGCTTTTTTTTGTTACTGTTATTAGTAATTACTAAGTTCCCAAAAAATTCCGTGGCAAACGCCGTTCACTTTTTAGATGTGGGGATACAATCCAGCGGCAAAAAACGAAAGAAAGGTACTGCGCTAGACAAGCTCTTGGCAGACATGGACAAGTCTAATCGTGTCGACGCTGAGAACACGCGAAGTTTGGTTGAAGTGCTGTCGTCGTCCATCAGCACATCTGCAAAGGAGATTTCTGATGAAGAGCTGTTTGGAAAATGGGTCACCACAACTCTGCAAACTGCCGAACCAGCGCACCGGCCGAAGTATAAAAGACAGATTCGGGAAGTTATTGCAAAACTTGCTTTGGAATGTCTTGAAGAATATACTATGTAGTCAAAGTTGAAACTGAATCTGACTGCTGTAATAAATCGTTATCCGGTACTTGCATTTTAACTGACTTGCGTAGAGGGCAGTTTAAATACTATATATACATGTATACACAGATACGTATTCATATTTATACATATAATATACAAATATTATAATGTTAGTTTTATTGCTTAAAATATTTCTATTGATCGTCTTCAGAATCCGACCCAGAGTCGGCTTGAGCCATTCCAAAAGCACGAATATCTTGCCAAGATACACTGCCGGCAGTGTTGAAATACTCACAAAACCGGTTACGAACAAGATTAGCTTGTTGGTTGCTGCGGCCGCCCCGTAGTTTTGCAAGACCACTGTCTCCGGCCGTGATGCGTCTCCATTCTCCTGGTGTCACACCTGTCCCATCCTCATTTTCCCTGTCGAGCATGGTTGGAGACACGTAAGAAGATGACTGACTCTGACGGCTTTTAGCTGACAGGAAATTATGCAAAACTACGGCTCCTTGTACAGTAAGCACAACCTGCTCAGGCTCGAAGTCCATGGGACGACGAAAAATACGAAAACGGGCAGCCAGAATGCCGAAACCATTTTCTGACACACGCCTCGCGCGACAGTGGCGGTAGTTATAGATTCTTTGATAACGTGTAAGTTTCCGATCGGGATACGGGCGCATCAGATTCACGGACATCGGAAATGCGGCATCGGCAACAAATACGTGCGGCATCAGATGCTGGCAGAGTAGAGGTCGCTCTGGTTGAGGTAAAAGCAGTGAACCGTCTCCAAGAGCCTTGCCGAGGGAACAATTTCTCCATGTTCCACCATCGCTCTGTCTCCCGTATCCTCCTATGTCGACGTATAAAAACCTGTAATCCGGTCCAACTACAGCCATTAGTACAATGGAATGGGTGCCTTTGTAGTTAATGTACTGGCTGCCGCCGTTGCGTGGCTTCTGTAAGTATAACACTTCTGTAGAACTTATTATAAGATATTAAACAAAAATAATTTTTTAACCTTTATCTGAACGTGCTTTCCGTCAATAGCTCCGATGCAGTTCGGGAACTGCCATTCTTTATTAAATTCGAATGCGCTTTTTTTCCACATTTCTTCAGACGGGGGTGGTAAACAAATCGGGCGCAAAATTTTCCATAAAGCAGCACATGTCTCGCGATAAATCTGATTGACCGTGGATGTTCCTAGACAAAAACTTTGCGCTGCTGCTTTTTGAGTTATTCCGTGTGCTAAAATTCTGAAAAAAATAAAAATCAGTACAATGAATTAATACACTTGGCCATAAAAATGCGTAATTTTTCAATTGTAAATCACAGCTGTTTATATGTTTGTTGGGCCGAACTGGTAATAAAATATAGTATTTTTACTGGATCCACATACCTTAAAGTTAAGGCAAGTCTTTGACGTTCGGATACAGGCTGAGCGTGCGTCTGGCTGTGGGAGATTTCCGATTCCAGCAGACCCAGTAATTCATCAAAAGTCTCGGCTGACATGCGAAAATACTCAAAAAACTGCTGCTCGTCCAATTCATACATACGTTCGACGATTCTACTGAATTCTCCAGTCTGCTCACGATTAATATTCATCGTACGAACACAGCAACTTCTGCTGCGTATCCGGTTATGAGCCATGAGCAGTCCCAGTCGAGTGCGCAAAAGCCGTTTGCGACGCTTCTGGCGAGATTGTATGAGATGGAAAAGAGCGATCAGTCGAAGATTTTGAGAATCCATTCTGATTTTCGGAACACCAGTTAAAATTAAAAGTTAAAAAAAATTTTTGATTTGTTTTTGGGGAAACGTTTGTTGAGTCGAATGGGCAAAACCGGCATAATCATTTTTCATGACGAGTTGGTTCATACTTCCGTTTCATTTTACTGGTGATAGCATATTGCCATTTGACATACGACATAATCATATTTGGTTTCATCTTTTATATGTTGAATATGATAATGTCGTATGCTGCTTATGACGCGCCATCATTTTGGCCGTCATATCGAAGTATAACATGGGCTTTACCCGTGTACACTATAATTTTGATTGTGACGGCCATTGTCATGGAAATTAAACGTGCAGCGGAAATACAGTAAACCAGCACGACTGCATCTAGTGTTCCCGTGTCCATTCATTTCGGCCACCATTCATTTCGGCTACCATTCGTTTCGGCTATCATAGATCCGGTTACCGCGTTACGGCTATCATAGATCCGGTTACCGCGGCTATCATAGATCCGATCCGGTTACCCGTTCGATTTTCTTAGGTTTTCGCAGGTTTCTTAGGTTATTCAGCTTATTCTTAGGTTTCTTAGGTTATTCTTGTTTCTTAGGTAATTCTTAGGTTAATCTTGTTTTTCTATGGTTCTCTTAGGTATTCTTAGGTTTCTTAAATTTTTTTAATGCTCATTGCTTAAGTACCTTGGCTAGCCTTACAGTAGAGTCATTGACTACATCATACATGTAAGCTAAAATCGAACGCGGTAACCAAATCTATGATAGCCGAAATGAATGGCAGCCGAAATGAATGGTAGCCGAAATGAATGGTGGCCGAAATGATAGGGTGCCAGTGTTCCTACCATCCATTACGAGTACTCAATAAATACACTTAAACGTTTTAAGTGTATTTATTAAGTACTCGTGATGAGCATCTTGTACGGCGGTTCAGTACTTGTGTCCTGTAGAGTATCTTTCGATTCAGTCCTTGAATCACAAGTTATTAATACTAATAACTTTCACAAGTTGTTATTAATAATAACTTGTGATTCAAGGACAGAATCGAAAGGGCTATCACCCATTCCGCCAAATGGACATTTCGCCAACCGGACATTTCGCCAACCAGACAGCAGTAGTTCGAACTGAAATTATAATACGGCATTTCGAGTCCAAAATATCACTAACGGTTCGAAAAATTTAAAAAAGAGCCAACAGAACCTTGGAAACCTGCAGAAAATTTAAGCATATCTACACATAAGAAAATTTAAAAAACCTAAGAAATCTAAGAAACCTAAGAAAACCTAAGAGGTAGTGTTGCTGGAAGTGCTGCAATCTAAAATAAATTTCGAATATTCGAAATTCAAGAACACTGCCATTTTGAATTCCGAGTAATAGGAATTAAATTGCCGTCATTCCAATTCCAATTACTCGGAATTGGTATCGAAATTCTTTCGCATGCAATTTTGAGCACTTCCAGCAACACTACTAAGAGCACTAACAAAACTAGAAAAACCGAAGAAACCTAAGAACCTAAGAAACCTAATGAACTCTAAGAAAACCTAAGAAAACTTAAGAAACCTAAGAAATCTAGAAAAACCCAAGGAACCTAAGAAACCTAAGAAAACCAAAGAAAGTAAGAAAACCTACGGTTGTAGAAATGTCTCGTTGGCGAAATGTCCCGTTGGCGAAATGGGATGATACCGTAATAATTATATAGCACTTATTAGCACAGCACTAGTGTGTAATGCGAAATGGGAATACGCCCCACGATAGAGTACTATACATGTTTGGTGGCACAAATACAGTACGCGTTATCCTTACTCACTAGCTTCATAAATAATTTTGTGTTAAATTCTACTCGATTATTAACAACAGTAATTTTTAGAAGATTTAGAAAGGAATCAAAGAATCGGACTACTGATAACACGTATCTGTTGCAAACCTCTGACATTGTACGCTGCAATAATACAGTATTCACAATACATAGTGCTGTATGTATCAATGAGGCACGCCCACTTAACCATGGCCGATGATAATATTTTTTTTAAGTATACCAAAGGTTAGTGTGTCTGCCTGCATAAGGTAAAATTTTTCGGAGCCGGGAGCCGGTGACTGGGCCCGGGTAAGCTATCCACTGCGAGGAGCCTCCTTGCACTGATGTGACTGACCCTTCCCAAAAGTATTTACAACGATTACCGTCAAAATGTTTTACTATAATTTTTGCTTGTGTGCACGCATCCGCCCTGAAAAACTCTTGCGCAAATTCGACGATCGACTGCTTCGGCTGTCATTGTCCTTGGATGTTTTTTAAGCATGGCATCAAATTCATGTGAAGGGGTGCTACCTCAAATTTCGGGCACTTTTTTCTAAAACCTGCCACAGGTCACCCATCACAAATGACTAACTCGTTACATTTTTATAGTGTTCCCGTACGCTCAGAGCGTGTTTCGAATTGCAGTGCATCCGAAACTACAGTAGACCAGTTTCAAAATGCTGTTCAACCCATGTGCCGTTGTTGCCTTCCACCGAATTGTAATTCGCTCAAAAATTCCATTGATGTCTTTATCCAAAAATAAGTCTGAAGAGTTCGCCATTTTCGACAATCATTTTATATAAAATCTCACTTGTAGGACGCTGAGAGAGACAGTGACGCTTCAGTCTACCTAATCAGCCAGAGACAAGCTGGTTTAGCAAACGGCAACTATCACTTTTTTTCCTGTTGCTTTGTTAGCTTTTTTGAAAAAGAGTAAAAGTTCTTTTCAAAAATGCTCTATGCTTTTTAAAAAAGAGTAAAGTGCATGTACAGCTCAGGACAAAATGGTCGCATACCCAACATCTCCACATTCAGTACGAATGCAGTGCAGTGCACTGTACGACTGAGTTCAAAATATCCGTTTCGTACAAGTGCACTGCACCGCTTGCGTACAGAATGCTGGGTATGGGGCTATGCGACCATTTAGTCCTACATTGTACTATGCATTTTTCCTCTTTTTTTTTCTTTAAATTTAAGAGGCGAAGCGTTTTAATCTCCAGCGTTCACTACCTGCGGATTATTTTATCAATAAAAACTAAAAGTCGAAGCTTAGCATACTACTTTGTACTTCTATACCACGGCTAGGGTTGTCATCAAGTCGTCAAACACTTTCACAATCACGCCGTCTTCTTGATGCCGAACAACTGGGGCCGCGATAGAAAAATGTGACGAGTGATGGGACGGAGATGGGATGAATTTTTCTTGTTAAAACTGAAAGGTCAAACTTCGGGTACGTGAGCCATAGTGCAAAATGCGTGCACTTTCGTTTTTCTGAAACTGCTCTGTCACAGAATTTATTAGAAACATTTCTGATAAATTCTGTGATAGAGCAGTTTCAGAATCGAGAAATGCGATAAGTTGCATACTCGCTGGCAAACATATTTTGAGTTTGATGGACTTGGTTCTCCTGATTGGATATAAAAATGTTTGCAAAGGCTCGTATCGATTTTATATCAACTCGTATCGTTTTAATTTGGCGCTCTTTGATTTAGTAAAATTATCTGCCAAAATAGACGGGAGACTGGAACGTTGAAGTGATAGTTGTGGAAGATGATGATAAGGTAGAGTACAAGTAATTGACGTAATTAGTTAAAGGCTTTTTACTTCTTGAAACTACCGTGAATTCCGAAACTGTGAAAACCAACAGATTCTGTTGCGTGCAATTTTCAGCTGCTGTTAACTTATTATACTTTACTGGTTGCGTCGGCTAATTAACTATTCAACATTTTTTCAAAAGGCTTCTTTGATGATGATACGAGTATCATGGAAATCGCTTCACATTAATGTCTTTACAGATATAAAAATTAAAAGGTTCCTATATGAACGAACAATAATGTGTATTTTTTTAATTATTATTCAAAAAAGGATGCCTATAAAAAAAGTGTGTTAGAAAGGGTGGCCATAAAAAATGAAGGTGAAAACGGGTGGCGGTAAGCCTATAACGATTTCCAAATTAAAATGGGTCAGGCAGGCATGTAGAATTTGTGGAGGAATCGAGCAGCTCAAACATTGGCGAGCGCGTTGCAAAGACGAAACGTAAACAATCCGCAAAACACAATGTATTGTATCAGTTACAATCAGTATCACTAAATGTGTTTATTTTGCAGTAAGTACGAGTAATTACTGTACAGCAACAACAAAAATATTTTGTGCGTGATGAAAGAACCAATAACCGACTACTAGTATCGCAGGAACTGAAGTTTCGAGTAAATCTAGCATGGGAGCTAACATACGGTAATTTAAATTTTAATAAATGTCATCCTGGTATGTACAGCCGAGCAGAAGCGCGCGACAAAATTTATTAATATTGTAAAAATGACCTGTTATGTTGTAAAAATCATTAACGACCTTTGTCCTTTTTATTCGTACCTTACTTTTTTGTAATTAATTGTACGAGTATTATACTTATTACTTGCTGTTACTAATATTATATAGTACCCTGCGCATTACTTATTACTAAGTAGTCGAATTACATATTTTTTTCACTGATTTAAAAATCAGTACCTCGATAGTGACGTAACATGAATAGGCGGGGCTGTCACACTGTCACCGAAATTCTAACACAAGAGGAAAATATTAAATTAAAAAATACAACCTAAAAATAAATATTTTGTGACGTACATGAATAGGCGGGGCTGTCACACTGTCACCGAAATTCTAACACAAGAAGAAAATATTAAATTAAAAAATACAACCTAAAAATAAATATTTTGTGACGTAACATGAATAGGCGGGGCTGTCACACTGTCACCGAAATTCTACCACAAGAGGAAAATATTAAATTAAAAAATACAATT